ATAAAAAAAAAAAAAAAAAAAAAAAGCAAGAGAAGAGCTTTCTGCAGCCAAGGATGTTTAAACACCAGGATGGGCCACTAAGTTAGAAATGGATATTCTATTTCTGGAATTATCTAAAAATGAGATAGATAGGAATGTGTCCTTGTAAGTTTAAGATCACTTTACCATGGAGGAAGAGAGCTGAATCAGATGATCAAAAAAATTCCTCACCTTGGCATCCTCTGACTCCAACAAAAGAACATCTCAGTAATCATGGAAATAGCACATAAGTTATTAAAGAAAAATTCTTGCCTGCCTTCCAGTACCGATCATGGATCATGCAATGGATGGGGCGGGCCCTGGGGCTACAGAGGCTCTTCAGAGCTCATCTAGTTCAGCTATAGAGGAGAATACCCTATCCACCAGCCATCCTTAGAATTAGCCAGTTATTGTGCACATCTGCAACACCTATGCACCCACACCTCCATGAGGTGTATTTCAAAGATTCTGTCAAAGCATGGAATGAAGAAGCTTCTGCTTTTTACAACTCAGTTTGTTACAGCATGGGGCTAGTAAGTTCAAAGTTTTAAGTTTCACCTTGTTACAGATTACTTGGCCTAGCATACAGCTAAAGAATCATTACACAGTCTAACTCTACCCTGCCCTCTTAACATCTCCATGCTATTCACAGGTGGCGGGGGGGGGGAGGGGGTGACTCAATGCAAATGTGTCACCATTAATGGAAAAAACATTTATACTACAGGTCTTGACAGCACCCTGTCATGGCAGAATTCTGTGCTGATCACAATTGAGAGAGAACACTCCTTACTAGCTTTGTGTCTTTAACAGGGATTAACAAAAGATAACCTCTGTGAACCTTCAATACCTCCAAGATTGTGCAAAACAGATCATGTTTGTAAGGAACTTTGTACAGTATCATAAGTTATTTGTATTCATATTAAGGACCTTATTTTGTTCTACTGTACATATTCTACTCCCTCAGATCAGATTCTGGTTTTGTTGTACTATGATCCTCTTTGGGGTCAGTTTCTAGAAGTCCTTTTCTGGTTCTATATGCTCAAGCCAGTAGAGATAGTACTAGTGAAATTAAGGACTTGATTTACCAGTGAAAAAGGCTATTCTGGAACTGAGAGCAAACAGTGGGGGACCCCATACACATCTCTTTCCTCCTTTTCAAGCCTCAGATGGGTAATCTGTGGAGGCTGTGAATGGCCTTACAAGTCTCAGTTTTTTTAAAAAAGTGAGATGGGAAAAAAAAAGGAAGTATATTGAAGTGTAATTGTTTCTTGATGGTAAAATCAAGAACTATTTAAGGAGTTTAGTGTCACTCTTGTTCCTATAGTATGAGGAGAGCTATGGTCACAGAAATGACTTCTACTAAGTGAGGAAGGGGAGAGCAATGGTTCTGGATATTTTCTGGCATCCAGTGATCCCTTTAGAATTGGACAAAAGCATGGTTCCTTTCTTAGGAAAATGTCATATGAATCTTGTTCAGCATTTCATGGAGTTCGTGGACTTTCTGAAGACCTCTTCTGTGAACCCCAGGCTAAGAAGGCAGGGCTAAAGAAGGCATTTGTGGGCTAAGACTCTTCACTGTAGCAAAGTTCTCACCTTGAAGTTACATTATAAATCTAGTTGTTAGTGGCAGTGTGCTAAAGTTGGGGGAAAATCACCGAAATACAGAAACCCATATTGTTATGTCTTTCTATCCTAAATCTGATGCAATTTAGAGTCAATTCTTTCCTCTGTTGCCTTGATTGATGGCCAAAAACAGGTTCTACTTTCTGAATGACTAACTTTTAGAGATGTGAAGGGCCTGTGTGGGGATTAGGAGGTTAACTAGGTAGTAGGAGCAGATAAACAAGAGGCCATGAACTATTTGGGAGAGGGGCATGAGAAACAGAAAGTCCTCACCTGCCTGTACTTTGAATGGGGTATTCTAAATTGAAAGCAGGAGCCAACTGAACATCAAAACCACCTGAACAAAAGCACCACACAGCAGCTTCTTCTGTTGATTTCAAGTGCTTCTGACTTTAAAAGTTAGTACATTTTTCATTAAGTGGAGGAAACAAGAAGGGAGTCAGATTTAAATCAGGATTTAAATTTTTGGTAAAGAATTATATTTTTTATTCACAAAATCTGAAAATGCTCATATAAATTACCAGCTCAGGGCTTGGATTTCCACTGGATCCATGCATGAAACAATAGTGTGTCACTTCTTCTTGCCAGGTTTGGGGGCCTTTTCTAGGCCTTGGATGTGTTTTCGAGGGAGATGATATTCTTCTACAATCCAAAAAGCAGAAACTGCTCAGTGGAGCAGGAACTCACTCTCCCGCTCCCCACCAGCCCTACCATGATTTCTCCTTTGTCTCACAATGTCACTCCTTGGCCTAGTCCATAGCCCACACCAATCTCAAAGCCCTCTTTGCCCCAGTATTCTTGCTATCAAGACTCTGCTCTAATGATTCCCAACTCAGGATATGTTTGTTTACATCCGGCTGAAGCTCATCTTCCTGGGGCTGCCTTTTGAGATGGACCATTTACCCCACACCTCAAAGCCCAAGTTCATTCTTCAGTAATTTTCATATGGCCATCTGCCTTCCAGGTTCACTGGAAAATAGTACTTCTAGTTTTCTTATGGAAGAGAATGTATGTGACTGTGTTCAACTGTGTGCCTGTCTATTTTCCCCTGTGTTTCTACTCAGCCCCTCTCACATGGGTCTCTTCACGTGAAGGGGCTCAAACCTGCAAGTCAGTTCTTGGTACTTCCTAAGATCATAAAATAAATTTGCTTATTGAGCATTTACTATGTGCCAAGCCCCGAAGATGTGACAAGCATGAAAAATACAAGGTCTCTGCCTCAAGGAACATAGTCTAACAGACAGCTCAGATATTAGAAAGTATTAGCCAAGCTATAGACACCAGCCAGAAATATAAACACAATTGGGAAGTGCTACCCTAACCATTTTAAAAATGCTCATTTAAGGAAAAGGACAAGGCCCCTGAGGTGGGCCAATGAGGGAAGGCAGATTCAGGCTGTGGAAGGGCATGTGAGCCAAGGGGACAGTCCAGGTGAATACAGGAAAAGTATGATATGCTTTCTGTATTTGGGGAACAACAAAGGATTGGCAAGACTGAGGCTGGGACAGTGTGGGAGCCATGAAAAGCCTGGGGGAAAGCTTGCGGTCAGGCTAGGACAGACTAGGTAACAAGTTCAGGAGTTAACTCTGAAGGCACTGAAGAGGCATACAGAGTTTTTTAGAGGGGAGTGATGTGAGCATATTTGTTTTAGAAAGCTGACCCGGGCAGTGCTACGAAGAATGGTTTGAATTGAGACAAGCAGGGGGCTGGCTGGGTGACCCAGTGGGGTAGAAAGAACTTGGGTTCTGGAGAATGAACACATTCTAAGCCCAGGTGCAGCACTTAAGAGTCAGGTGAACTCAGGGCAAGTTAGTGGACCTCTCTGGGCCTCAGTTTCCTCATTTGCAATACAAATAACAGTTCTTCGGCAGCATTATGATTAAGGAGCTGCCTGCCAAAAGTCCAGCAAAGTGCCGAGCATGGTTTGGGTGCTCAATAAATGTTTTATAGAAAAGGGAGGCTCAGGGAGAAAATAAGTGTATATGGTTGAAAAAGTGTTGAATTGGGAAGGGACAAAGATCTGGTTCAAACATTGATTTCACCCCTTGTCAGCTGCTAAAATGACACATACACATGTGTATGTAGGTATGGTTCTCAATTTATGATGGGGTTATGTTCCCCCAGAAAAACATTGTGAATAGAAAATTTGGTTAAATCTAAAATGCATGTATTACACCTAACCCACCAAATTCCATACATCAGCAGCACCATCCACTGGAGTACCTACTGCTTGCCTCTGTGATCACATGGCTGATTAGGAGCCTTTCAAGAGAGTATCGAGGGGATATAGCGATCCCAGGAAAAGCTCAAAATTCAAATCCTGAAGCACAGTTTCTACTGAATGTGTATCACTTTGGCACATTGTGAAGTTGCACAACTGGTAAGACAAGGACCTGTGTGTGTGTGTGTGTGTGTGTATACATGTATACGGGTATCAAGATAACTACACCAAGGTGAGTTGGCAGGAAGATCTTTGCCAAACTAGCCCAGTGCCAATGCTCTTTGGAGGAGATGCTCACCAAGCAACAGCCAGCCAAGGTGGTGCACCTGGTTTCCCTGGATCTGCACCTGCAGGCTGTCCTTGGAGCCGGGGGCAGGAGTGACGGTGGTGCTGGCCTGACATCGTTGCTGGAGGATGGCAGCCACTGAGTATGGGTCCAGACCATAGGGTTCCAAGTTCCGGACCACAGTCACCTGAGGGGGGGTGGACAGTGAGGACAGTAGACTGATGGTGGTGCTGACTGCACATCTTCCCCTCCATAGGGCTTTCCAGAGCCTCAATAGCCTCCTCACCCTCAGTATTCTCTGAGGGTTCACCATCCTTATCACCACGGTACTTTTCTTATTTTGTACTTCTAAAATGATTCTCTCTACTCCAAC